TCGTTAATGTGTTTAACCTCCCCCTTTATAAAAGCCAGGTCACAACCTCAGTTTGATCTTTTTAATGCGTGTTAAATGTTTGATTACCGGAAAGTTAGAAATTATAAAGCGTACTGGTAAAGTACAGAGAGTCCATCTCTGTCAAATCATTGAAATTCTTTTTAAACTGATTTTGTCTCCAAAAAGAGATCATTGAGTTTGGTGGAGGAGTACAGGTTTATTACAATATGATCTCTTTTATTAAAAGTGGCATATTCATAAACACATCTTATCCTGTTAAATAATCAGATGCACCACAAATTAAGACTGTTTGTACAGCGCTCTATTTTAATGAGGGCACAGAGGTGAATGAGTTTCAGATTAAAGCGATTCTTTTCATTCCGCTTCACCTATCGTTATATGTCTGTAGATGACTCAGTTTAATTTTCCTTTAAGCCCCCATGTTATAAACTGTAGCTAAAAAAAACATTTGCTCATCTGCAAGCTAGACTGACTTCATTATATTAACATTTTATTGTGCAATTTTCAACTCATGATCTCTGATTTCTGAACCCCCAAAATCTGCATTAGTATCTTTTGTTTAGTCAATAAATTCAAAGTAAAATCTTAACAAGGGAACGATGTTCAATACTTTCGTTCCGCTGCAATAAGTCGCAGTGTTTTTGATGAGGTGGTTATTTCCTCAGGGCATGTTTTATAATTGAATTTGATTGAGTGTTAAATTTTAAAGGCAATGCAATTTCCGACTGTCTCTTATTTATATTCTTTCTATATTCTATTCTTCTTTTAACTGGTTTGAGAAAGAAAATGCCATTTCAATTAAGAAGGACTGCATTTAAATTATTTAGAACATTTAAGTCCACAGGGCTTTCCCTTATTCTAAACTGATCTTGTAAATTTATTCAGCCGCAAAGACAAAAGGGAGAATAAATTTAAGTCAGGTTCTGAAACTACAGCCAAAAATGAAGAATAGCCCACTTTGCCAGTGTTACATTGTCTCAAAAGAGACAGGTTCACCTGGCTCTGAATGACCTCTAATGAAAATCAAATTCACTTAGTGACCAGAGCTGACATTAACTCGCTCACACAATGAAAGGAGGAGGGGGAAAAAAGGTGTCAGTTTTAAATTAGAGAAATCTCTGTGGATATGAAAGACAAGAAGACACAAAAAGTCAAATTTGAAGCTTCACAACTTGTCCATAGTTTGGCTGCAGCTGCATCAGAGGAAAATCTGCAATAAATTCTAGAAATTTCAAGGGTGGTGTATATTATTTGTATTTAGGAAAACACAAAGTACTCTTGGATACAACACATAAACAATAAGCTGACTCAACAAGCACAGAAATGCAAACAAAAAAGCATTTGATGATTCAAAAAATTATGTTCTCTTAAACCAGAATGGTTTTTTTTGCATTTGTCAATTGTTTAAAATGTATACATCTCCTTTGCTAGAAGCTGTTCTGTTTGATGCAGTAACACAAACTGGCTCCATTATGCTCCAGCATGATGTAGAGACCTCCTGCGTTGTTGGTAAAAGATATGATCAAGTCCATTTTCAATGGATTAAAGAGAAAGAATAGTCGATTTTATGGATTAAGAGACAGATGTTATCTGAAAGGATCCCACAGGCGTCCAGCGTAGACCGCTGGATGGCACGATTTGCAACAGATGATGGCGCAGACATGGAAACAAGTCAATGTGAACTCAGGAAATGAATCTAGCTTCAACCTCCTGAAAAGCATAATCTACTCTTCCAAATCAAATTATCTTCAAGTCAACAAATACGGAATAATCAAGAAATATTTCTCAATTAAACTCTACTCCACTTCCACTTTTTAAAACATGGTGCACAAAATAACTCTCAAGCTGTTCTCCTTTGTTCTTACTGAATTTTTTTATTTAAACTTTCAAAATAAACCCCCAAAATTAAATTTTCCTTGTTTTACAGACCAGTGCTCAGCCTTTTGAATCTTCTACAAATAACTTTGTATATTTTAAAATATTTTAATATCATATGTTCTACATATTAACACTCAAAATAAGTTTCAACACAGTGGGCCGTATCTGTCTGACTGATTTTATGTTAATGATAAATCTTCCTCATGTGCTAGAGTTACCCGTGGAGTACCACAGGGATCAGTGCTAGGACCAATTCTCTTTACCTAGTTATTAGACAGCATGGGATTAATTACCACTGTTATGCTGATGATACCCAGCTATATCTGTCTATAAATCCAGATGAAGCTAACCCATTACATAGAATACAGGCATGTATTGAAGTTATAAAACCTGGATGACTCTTGACTTCCTGTTTCTGAATGCAGACAAAACAGAAGTTACTTCATTTGGATGGGATTAAACTGATCTCTGATAATAAAGTTAAAAGAAATATTGGTGTTATTTTCAATCAGGGCCTGTATGGCATAGTATGTGTTCATTTTGAAAATGTGAGGGGAAAAAAACTTTTCACAATTTTGGTCTTAAAGGAACAGGTCATGTTTCACTTTTCTTGTACAGTTTAAAGGAATAGTACACCCAAAACATGATTAGCCTTCATTTTCTACTCACCCCCATGCTGAACAACACTCTGGAGTACTTTTTTGATATCTCAAATGCATCTGGAGATCTGGGAGGCTTCTTGCTGTCTGCTGACATTCAAATAATGGAGGTCTATGGCGCCCGAGGCAGAAAGGTCCATAAAAGTCCACAAAAAACGTGTCAATATTCCTCCATACTGCTCGTCCAATGTATTCCAAGTGTCCTGAGTCGGTAGCATCCAGAATTTACTGGAAACAAAGTCATTTAGAATGTTTTTAGAGCATAAACAGTAGTGGATTTCCTGAAAGCGCGCACACGCGCGTTCACGACGCTACGGAAGCCGGCAGACCAAACCAGCGCATTCAGCTCGGCAAAGAACTCATGCTCTTCCTCAACACTGAAGTCCTCAGACATTTTTCTTTCGTTGTTTCTTTCTTTGCACAGGTAAACAGCACATTTCTTCTTCTACGCTTGCATTATTGGCAGAGCAGACGCTGAATGCGCACTTTCATCTGGTTTGGTCTGCCGGCTTCCGTAGCGTCGTGAACGAGCATGTGTGCGCTTTCAGGAAATCCTATACACTACTGTTTATGCTCTAAAAACATTCTAAATGACTTCGTTTCGGGTAAATTCTGGATGCTACCAGCTCAGGACACTTGGAATACATTGGACGAGCAGTATGGAGGAATATTGACACGTTTTTTGTGGACTTTTATGGACCTTTCTGTCTCGGGCACCATGGACCTCCATTATTTGAATGTCAGCAGACAGCAAGAAGCCTCCCAGATCTCCAGATGCATTTGAGATATCAAAAAAGTACTCCAGAGTGTTGTTCAGCATGGGGGTGAGTAGAAAATGAAGGCTAATCATGTTTTGGGTGTACTATTCCTTTAAAATCTAAACCAACTTTAAAGTTTTTGTTATTTTTTTCTCCTAATAAATAGATATCATGACACCACTGTGGCTCCATGCAGAAGCTAAGAATTGATACAATATATTTAGTGATACATTGGCAGTATCTGGTCACTGGTAAACACTCTAAGGCACATGGCCAGGGGACATTTTTCAAATTTATTAAGTTCCCAATAAAGAATGGGCTAATCCTTTAGAAATAAATCTACTGCAGATAAAAATAACTGTTGAAGACATTTGAACAGAACCCTTTTTTTTTAAAGGATTTGAATTGCATCAAAAAAAATCATGGCTAGCTGACCAGATAACTTAAAAAGAAGCAAAACAATGACCCATGGACACTATCAAAAGAAATCGATTTCTGTGGTGTGTTTGAAAAACAATGACTTCAACTTGGAGTTGGCCTTCAAATGAAATTCTGTCTAAGACCCCAGAAAACCTTGAAATGGTTCCACTAAAATCCCCTCACTCAGTTATTCATTTAGTGTTCTTACTCTTAATAATTGCAGACACACCACTTTTTTTCTGAATGACTGTCTAAAACAAAGCTTTAATTTTGTAACAGAATTGCTTTTATAACATAAATGGATGAAGAACCAAATCGGTCTGTATTTACAAGGAAAAGAATGAAAAAATGATCCACCTCATGAAACGCTCCACAGCAACCTTCCAACCCGACTGCAGAGATGAGGGACCTGAGGCTGCGTGGTGCTTCATTTTACATTAAGAAACATCTCACCAAGCCATGTCTGCCTGCTGAAAACCATCTGTGTTTTTCTTTGTGGTCATTTCATGAGAGGAGTTGCCACGTGGCGCACAGTACGATGCAGGTTCAGATTTTGTTATGAGGTGGCGGTGCCTGGTACGAAGACGTTGTGTGCCAATGCTCTACAGATCTTAACACGCTGCCTGAAGCTGATAGATGTGGAGACTTCTGGCCAAGCAAGTGCTTTGCAACCTGGCAGTAATAAAAAAAATGACCCGTTGTGTTTGTGCTGCTACATGATAAAAAAAACCCTTGCACTCAGCTTTGCTTACAGCCCAGAGCAATGGATGGTAGATGTCTGAGAACGCCAAACCTGCTACCAGACAACAAAGAATCAGATGGAGACCAAACGGTGCCATTTTAAGTTCCACCCCCCCTAATACCACATTCTCTGTGTGGCTGCCTTACCAATTAGTCACAGAGCTGCTGCTGAGGTGAGATAACAATAGAAAATCATGTATCCCCTAAAGTGTTACTGGAGGACCATTATTAACGTACTGATGTCTTCTACATGTCACCGCTGCCCTCACTTGCCTGGCAGCACACCCTCACATTTTACGAAAACGAACATCACCAGAGGGGGCTATGATTTAATCCAAGAAGAAAACAGCAGGACACAACATTAGGCTGAACCCAACATGATGTAATTAGTGAGATGCTGTTAGGAATAAATATGAAAACTCGTACAGTGTCTTCAAACTGCTTTGTAGATTAAAAAGTAGTCTCTAAAAGTACACTTCAAAGTAAAATATTACTATGTAATCAGAAGGGAGCAAAAAGAAAGTGAATCTCAATATTAAGCATTTTTATTCAGAGCATGTTTCTCACTACATGCTGCATAAAAAAAGCAAAACAACCCAAATATTGCCTTTTCCACAAAAAAAATAGTGTTTAAGTTAAGTCACATTTTTTAGCACCACAGAAATGGGTTCTTCATTGAACACAATTATGTGCAAGTACAAATAATCCTTACAGGAAACAGAAAAAGTAGTTCGCTGATGCTGAATTAGGACATTAACATTAGTTTGTGTGCAAAAAAAACAAGTTAACAGTTATAACTGTTCGGATTGTCCTTGCAGAATTTAATTTCTGCTGCTGACAAGGGGTTAAAGGCTCTGTTAGCTTGGGGAATCAAAACTAACAAAAGTAAGACTACATATTAAACTGTCACAGCAATGTTTATCAATTAAGATCCAAAGTGGTTAAAGAAACAATTAAAAAAAAAAAAAGTAACAAGTGTCTCATAAGCATTGTTTCCTTCAGATCCTTCATATATTTGAAATAACTTTGTTTGGTAAGCATTAATACCTCTTGGACATTTTTTACATCTTTTCACATTAGGACCACAAACCATTTCTCAGTATTTAATGTAACAAATCGACATAAAGTAAATAGAAATAATTATCTATAGAGGTTTCAAGTTGGGGTCTATCACTAAACCAAACAAACCATAAAGCAGGATCAGGTTATAAAACAATAAACAACTGCTTTATTATATTGCAGTGCAGTTAAATATCATTTAGATTAAAAAGATTATAAGCCAAATGGATGCCTATCAACAATAATCAGTGAATTTGTCTGAGAGGCTTATGATAACTGGAGATGCAGAGACAATGTATGGAAATCTGTTTATGTTGTTATTACTTGTACTGCAAATAATAAAACTGCCATTATGGCACAGTAGGAAAAATAAAAGCATTATTTACACAGAGCCAAAATGTATGCTGCTTCAAGTTTCTACGATTCATGCAGGGGGCACAGTAAATGTGGAAGGAGGTGATCAAATTTAGGCCAGTTACAAACTGTGTGGTAGAACACACTGCACACTATTACCATTATCCCATTATAAAACATGGTGGAGGCAGCATTATCAAAGGGGGATAGCTTTCTACAGAAGAGAAAGAGGTTGATGTGAAGATAGGAGTTAAATCCACGTCCATTCTCAAAGAAAATCTGTTTGTGGTTCAGAATCTAATATAAGACGCTTGGATAACCCTAAACAGCCGGGCAGAGCTTTAATTTAAGGGTTTAGATCTAAATGCAATTATATATATGGTCCAATTAAAATCAAATTAAGAGCATTTTAGTGCAAGGTAAAACTTAAAATGTATATTTATAGCTGTTCTCCATGAACTGGCAGATAGAATAATTTTTTTTAAAGCTCTAACTGCTGTGCAACTCAGGAGGCAACTATTAAGATTTTTCTTGTTAAGACTTTATAAATTATACATGATTTCCTTTAATTTTATGCTACAGCTCTAGTGTTTGTTGATGAGTGTCGTCCAGTGAAATACTCAAAGGTTTGTGGTTCTAATATGACAAAATGTGAAAAAAGGTTCCAGGATATAAACCCTTTGTAAGGCACTGTGTAGTTTATACTTTCAGATCAGAGGCTGGTAGTAAACTGATCTGAGGTCAGATATGCTTCTGCACTGAGGTTCTGCTCCCATCATCCCACCTGTGGCTGGGCTCCCAAAACCCTTTAGGCATCCACCTTAAATGTCCCAACTGTCACTGAAGTATTGGTCCTCTTCTTCCTCTTCCTCCTCTTCTTCTTCCTCCTCTTCTTCTGTTGCCTCTACTTGCACTTTGGATTCATCATTTATCAACTCATCCGACAGCCCCGCTTCCTCTTCTTCCATCTGCAGTTGCGCGAGCATGCTTTGTAAAGTGGATTTTACCTCCTGAACTTCTTTTTCCAAAGACTGTGCAGAGAAAGTTAAGGAATACTCTTATTTCTCAAACCAGTACATATTATTATGTTAATGTTATGTAAGCTTTACAAAACAAAATTTAGCTTTGTATACACTCTGTGTATACAAAATGGCAATAAAAGTTGTCTAAGTCTAAGTCAAAATAAAAAGAAAACACTACCAGATAAATGACAGGGGAAATGTGACATTTATGGGCCCTGATGAAGCCATCCATTTTCAACGGATTACTGGGACAGATCATGAAGTTATACCCACTTTAACCCTGTTTAATTCACTATTTATGAGCTCATCTAAACTGTGCACCCATGCAAGCAGATTGCCCAGTTAGATTATTCATGAACCATCAATGAAACTGTAAAGAGCCAGTGGAAGGAATCTTTAACCTGTTTGAAACGTAAATGAACTGTAAGGCTCCACAGCCAGTTGGAAGCCAAGGAATGTTCATAAAGTTGGAGCAAACAGAGAGTCTGTTGGCTTTTTTGAATGAAAAAAATCATGATCTTTCATTAACCAAAAATTACATATGAAAATCATTGGGTTGCCAGTTAAGCCCCTACTCCATCTGTTTCGGTTTTTCTGTTCTTGGGTGAGACACTTGATCAACCTTGCTCGCTGTTGGTGACCTCGGTTCTGTCATTCTGCCCCATGGCAACTATGGCAACAATGTTGCTTAGCTCTGTGAATGTTTGCATTGATGAGTCAAAAACGATATAAGTATAAAGGTCCTTACGAATGATAAAGCGCTATATCAATACAGGCTATGGAAAGGTTTCGAACCTTTCTACTCACCACCCGCAGCGAGAAAAGATACCCTATGTCTGTCCTCCTTTGTCAATCCCTCTGTTCAACACTGTCGATGTGCCTCTTGTTATGAGAACAGAGATCCAATTAAGACCTGTACTGTCTGCTGGTCTGATCTTTCTGTCACTATGGTAACAGTAACATCATGAGTAATAAAGTTATTCTTCAATTTCTGCAAGCCAGCAATATAACTCTTCATCTTCAGTGTACTCAGGAGTCTACGATCCCACCGCTGAGCGCAGTGACTTCTACTATGAGAAATAAATGGCACATAAAGACATGGAAACTGAGATGGGGAAAGAAGAAGGCCAGTTTCCACCTGTCCGTATGCACTGATATGATGTTTCTGATGCAATGACGCTAAATGCCTAACAAGATGGTCAACTATTTTTCTACCGAAAATGAAATGTGATATCTATTTCATATTCCACAGTAAATTGTTACTGGGAATTCTGCATTGGAAATCCTGTTGCAACAAGACTGAGACTGCTCTACGCATCTAGTCTTCAAAATTAAGTTTATTAACCAACGATTCTGATAAACACCCTGCATTAAACATTATGAAAAGCCCCCAGCAGAGGTTAAGCTGTTATAGCTACAGAGGGTAGTTCAATGTTGTATTAAAACCTCTGAATTAGGAAGGTAGGTCACTTAAGTTCATATGTCAGTCATGATCAGTGCCTGTCTACACACTGCATTCTGTCAGACCTGCCCTGCTGAATTTTAATCAGTGTAATGCATCAGACCTGCAAGGCTACCTCTCTGCTCTGATGCAATCAAGTGCCCCCATCTGTTTCCCAGTCTCTATGAACTTGCCACAGACATCCATTGCTCTAATCCCTTTTTTGCCTTGTTAGGATCTCAAGTATTTTTTCTTGATTTCCCTATCTTGCCTTGGTCTCACTTCTACCAAGCTACAGATTTTCCTACTGTTCTCTAATCATCTGCGTATGACATAAGCCTGTTTCCTGGACTCAGATCTAGCTGCTGCAACCCAGGTTAATGCTTGCTCACATGTTCAGCCAGTGCACCTCTGCTTCAAGCTTCAGCCTCTTGTAAAATCCCTGTAAGTTTTAACCTTTTCTGTCAGTTCTCCCAGAGGAAGCAAATAATCCTGTCACAGGATCAGGTACTTTGTCTACATCCTGAGGAGGTTAGTGGTTTTATTTCGGAGTCTTCTCTCTGCTGAAGCCACTAACCTGGATGTGTTTGTCTGTAAAACTGAAACTTTCACCTTTATTTAACCAGGTATAATTCATTGAGATTACAAATCTGTTTTGAAAGTAAGACCTAGTATTTGGGGGTTTAAGTCAGCATGTTATAATTGAGCTCTTTTTTTTTCATTAATTTGTATCTCTGCTTCTGTCTCAATGAATCCTAGTCGGCCTCGGCAGATGGCCGCTCACACTGAGCCTGGTTCTGCTGGAGGTTTTTTCCTGTTAAAAGTGAGTTTTTCCTCTCCACTTTCACTACAAGCATGCTTATGCAATGACGCTAAATGCCTAACAAGATGGTCAACTATTTTTCTACCGAAAATGAAATGTGATATCTATTTCATATTCCACAGTAAATTGTTACTGGGAATTCTGCATTGGAAATCCTGTTGCAACAAGACTGAGACTGCTCTACGCATCTAGTCTTCAAAATTAAGTTTATTAACCAACGATTCTGATAAACACCCTGCATTAAACATTATGAAAAGCCCCCAGCAGAGGTTAAGCTGTTATAGCTACAGAGGGTAGTTCAATGTTGTATTAAAACCTCTGAATTAGGAAGGTAGGTCACTTAAGTTCATATGTCAGTCATGATCAGTGCCTGACATTACACACTACAAGCATGCTTAGTGTGAGGGATTGCATTTGAGTCAATGAGTCGATGCAATCAATTGGTTTTCCTTGGATAGAAAACTTTGATTCAATTTGACTATATGATCTTGTAAAATACCTTGCAATTATGTGTTGTGAATTGGTGCTATATAAATAAACAGAATTGAATTGAATTATCGCTTAACCATTCTTGATCTGTCTCCTAGTGTTAGAGGTCAGTCGTATGGGAGTACCATTTCAACCCTGATGGGTATAAATAGAAACCCAAATAAGAAATTGAAAAAAAAATTGTAAATTTTAATGTCAATTCCCCAACTTAAGCTAAAATCAACTGTCTTTGGATTTGGATCACATAGGTCAGCCTTGGACTCCATGCATTAATGTCCTTATCATCCATTAACTACTGTTTCATCCTTACCCTTATATTAATGTTTTTGTTTTATCTCTCTTGTAAATAATATATTAGATTCCAATAAAGCCTAAGGCTCTAGCTATATTTCGTAAAGTATTGCTATGACTAGAAAAGCTGGAACATAGAATTGCAATACCATAGACAAGGTTAAAGAGGAGCATTTCAAAATATCCAATCACTGCAATCTGGGTCCAACCAGGATCTCATCTAGGTCTCCAGCTCAGTATTTAGGGAATAAAGGTTAGTTGGCAGATTTTCCTTCAGCCTGCTTCTAGGATATAAAGTTATTTAATAATGTGTAAAAGCAGGAGGGGGAAAGGTTGAGCCAGAGAAACACACTAATCTATTTCCAATCAGCTTTCTAATTAGCGCAGAGAATGATCTATTGTGACCTGTAATCAGCCTCAACAGTTTGATTTGAGTCATTATCACGGATATTGTAATTTCCTCTCTGTCAGATCCAAAGAGTAGAATTGGACAGATGGGAAAAGGAGAGCAGAGGAAGGACGGGAGGGTCAGCGGTAGGATTGACACTAAGATATGAAATGAGCAGACTCATTACCAATACGTTCCTCTGTCGCTGACCAACCCCATCAGTCGCTTTTAATCTCAGCCCTTCATGACTGGCAGCACACATCACTGGCTCACTAATAACCTAATATGAACTTTTAGCATTTCATTTTCCAGTTAGTATATATGGTGTTTTTTTTTCTAATCCTGGCCTGTCCCTTATACCTTACCTAAATAGATCAATGAAATCAGATATGACGTTATTTTCCCCTCTAAAGGTAAAGTAAACTAACATCCATCAGTGGTTTTGTTTACTTCAGAGTCAAAAAGCCTCGATATGATTCAGATAGACAGACGGGGATACATGGGAAAAAAAGAAATAAGGACAGAAAGTGCAGGACAGATATTTATCTAGGCTGAACTGGAAGGATATGGGTGAGGGCTAGATCCCGATTCAGTATAGCTGTCTGCAGTTTGTCCTCCAAGGCCATTAGTCTGTCACCGATCAGCTCACAGCGCTCCGTTAGGTCTGTAGCATCGGCCTCGCTGCACACATCCTGCACAATAAAGAACAAGTAGGATAACAAAATAAATACAAACTGTTTTTCAAGATACTTTGAAATAACTAAAAATACAATCTTTATCTCAGACAAACACAAGTTATGCAAATTATAAACCCACGGTTGATAATTTAAAGATATTTAAAGGTAAAGGTGTTACGCAAAAAGTAAAGCATGAGTGGTAAACACAACTACAGAGCAATAAATATTTACCAAATTAATCAGAAAATAAGCTGGGCTACCATCAGTTGGAGCTACTTTGGCCAATCAGCACCCTCAAGAAGCTTTAAATCCATTTTTGCCTTTTTATTTTAGATTCCAGTATTGTATTTCTACCTTATGAGTTGTCTTTGTAAGGGGCATTGGATGTGAGGCGATATCTATTTTTTACCCTTATTTTTCTCTGATCCCTGTGTTCCCCTTGCGTCTATCCATGTTCTGCCTTTTGTCTCCCTCGCTTTGCTTGATGACCACCCTACCTCCCTGCTCCCTCCACCTGCAATTCCAGTAATAATCCTCCCTGAGTATCTACCATCTATATCTTTTCTCAGCTCCCCATATTTTCTTATCTGACCCTTGTTTCTCACCACTGCCTTTCTCCCAGTTTCCATGCCTGTATTCTTTTGTTTGCCTCTTTTTGTGGTCCTTCTTATATCATCTACCGGTAAGTTCTGCATATGCTAACGCCTTTTTCTTTATTTATAAAATACTAAAAAACCTTTATTGCCATGTAATGGCACCTTTACAACCGAGAAACCAAATTGCAGATGCATAACAAGACAGCCCAACACAATACACTCACCGACCCCTTTATTAGGTACCCCATGCTAGTAACGGGTTGGACCCCCTTTTGCCTTCAGAACTGCCTCAATTCTTCGTGGCATAGATTCAGCAAAGTGCTGGAAGCATTCCTCAGGGAGTTTGGTCCATATTGACATGATGGCATCACACAGTTGCCGCAGATTTTTCGGCTGCACATCCATGATGCGAATCTCCCGTTCCACCACATCCCAAAGATGCTCTATTGGATTGAGATCTGGTGACTGTGGAGGCCATTTGAGTACAGTGAACTCATTGTCATGTTCAAGAAACCAGTCTGAGATGATTCCAGCTTTATGACATGGCGCATTATCCTGCTGAAAGTAGCCATCAGAAGTTGGGTACATTGTGGTCATAAAGGGATGGACATGGTCAGCAACAATACTCAGGTAGGCTGTGGCGTTGCAACGATGCTCAATTGGTACCAAGGGGCCCAAAGAGTGCCAAGAAAATATTCCCCACACCATGACACCACCACCACCAGCCTGAACCGTTGATACAAGGCAGGATAGATCCATGCTTTCATGTTGTAGACGCCAAATTCTGACCCTACCATCCGAATGTCGCAGCAGAAATCGAGACTCATCAGACCAGGCAACGTTTTTCCAATCTTCTATTGTACAATTTCGATGAGCTTGTGCAAATTGTAGCCTCAGTTTCCTGTTCTAAGCTGAAAGGAGTGGCACCCGGTGTGGTCTTCTGCTGCTGTAGCCCATCTGCCTCAAAGTTCGACGTACTGTGCGTTCAGAGATGCTCTTCTGCCCACCTTGGTTGTAACGGGTGGTTATTTGAGTCACTGTTGCCCTTCTATCAGCTCGAACCAGTCTGGCCATTCTCCTCTGACCTCTGGCATCAACAAGGCATTTCCGCCCACAGAACTGCTGCTCACTGGATGTTTTTTCTTTTTCGGACCATTCTCTGTAAACCCTAGAGATGGTTGTGCGTGAAAATCCCAGTAGATCAGCAGTTTCTGAAATACTCAGACAAGCCCTTCTGGCACCAACAATCATGCCACGTTCAAAGTCACTCAAATCACCTTTCTTCCCCATACTGATGCTCGGTTTGAACTGCAGGAGATTGTCTTGACCATGTCTACATGCCTAAATGCACTGAGTTGCCGCCATGTGATTGGCTGCTTAGAAATGAAGTGTTAATGAGCAGTTGGACAGGTGTATCTAATAAAGTGGCCGGTGAGTGTAGAGGAAACTCATAGGGTCAAGACTTGGTGGTTCATTGACTGCCCAAGTACAAAGAAGACCCGTTAAAAAGATATCAGTGTGCAGATTTACTCTCATTTTACAAGCTTATAGTAAACAAAACAAAAAACAGTTTCAGTACTTTGGTGCTTCCTGACTTCTATATGAAAATAATGTCACAAAATACCCCTGTTTGTGCGGTATTTTATGTTCATTTTAATAGGAACTGCAATGACTGTGATAAGTTAGCGAAGTTCATATCATGTAGCGATAATTTGGACTTCTTTTTCTGATTCTGCTGGAATATACCCTATAAAGGACAAATAACATACAGAATAATAAAAGTTCAACATATCATATTAAAATTGTCCCTGTTATAAAAAGGTTTGGTAATGTCTTATCATGTTTGTATGGCAGAACCAAGGTCATAAAATATGTGCACAATGCAGCAGAGAATCCAGCAGTGCTGAGCGTGTTTTGAAGGATGGCAGCTTGATGGAGGAGCAGAGTGCAGTAGGACAGAGCACTCAGAGTGTGGCTGACCGTAATTAGAGCATCCCCCTTTGTAGACACCGTGTCCCAGTTTCTTCACACTTATCAAGCATAGAGAACACAAACACACACTCACACAGTAGGGTACACAAATATACTCCTGGCAACCAAACAGACAAGCACCCTCACATGCAAAAATGAACTTCACACAAGCAGTCTAATCAGACTCATAGCTGCAGGTAAAACATATCTCCTCCAATGTTAGACCAATCCTCAGAAAGTATCTGCCTGTAATTCTGCTCCTCCTTCAGATGATGTAACCCCCCCCAAAGGAAAGTAAAACAACATGAACATATCTTTCATCTTTCCTGATGCAATTGGGGAATTAAGGAAAACTTGAGCAAAGATAAGCATAAAACATCACGCTGCATGTTCGAGGAATTTTAAATAAAGGCATTAGTTGCATAAATCTATCCTCCAGCTTCTCATGATGCAATGCTGTGAGCGAGAAATAAGTCAGTCGCCCTGACGATTGAAACCAGTTTGGAGAACAGCTTCTTTAGCTGATGAGAACTCTGTGTTTGCTTTAACGATTGGCTCTGATTTTGGGGGGTTCTTTATTATCTGTACATTTTTTTTGTCACTTCATACTCAATCCAAGACTATAATACTGGTTGGCCTATTTTTAAACTAATTACTGTCAATGCAGTTATGTTTAAAAAAAAAACATGAATAAAAAAATTGTAAGAGAAAAACAAATTTTGGTAATACATTAAATGGATACGCCTCATAATCCTGGATAATTCTCACTGCATGTTAGTAATAATGTTATAACACTTAGAGTTGCATACAGTTGATGGAAATGTTTTCAGTAGTCAAACTTATGCATGCCTCGGTATGATTATTTAAGCGTTAATGAGACAGAGGCGGAAGGTAATTTCTAAGCTTCCCTTGGGTGCTGTTCTGCCTGATACTTCTCACTAGGCGGACAATACAAACAATTTATACTGTGTTGGGGTTACACTTGAGGTTGTAATTGGTTTCAGGAAAAAATAAATAAAAAACGCTCGCCGCTTTCTTGTTAAATAAGAAATTAAGTAGAGAAAGAACATAAGCAGTGATTTGAATTTTCTCTCAGATGCTGTCGGAAAAAATTTATCCATTCTGCCATCAGTGAGCATAATGAATTAAGTCATTACAGGAAGATCTCAGCAGTTAGAAATGTGGCAATAATATGTAGAGTATTTAAAAGCTATTGATTTGTCAAAGCTTGTGGAAGCCTACAGATAATTTATACCTCATTATAAAAAAGAAAAATCGATGCAAGGTAAATGGGTTGCATTTAGTATTAATGACCCACTAAAGCACTTATTCTCATTCATCCATTCACACAGAGAAGCACACATTCACCAGTTTAAAGATTGATACGGTGGGCAACATTAATTTCCTGTAGCAATCAGGAAGCTGGATTCTCTTTAACAAGTTCCTAATTGCCCAATGACTAATTCAGGTCCATGCTACAATAGAGATATATGGCTTTGTTTACTTTAAAATACCACAAAATTAAGAATTATACAGTAGCTTTAGCTAAGCTAAAAAAATATTCCTAACCCTGCCAGTTTTAGATTTCAAATAATTTTAATTACAGTAAGAAGTATTGACCAGTTATTGAAACATTTTCACAAGGACTTAAATGATATAATGACCTTAATGTCTTGAGATGAAGGCCACCTTAGCCTTCATCTACCTGCACAGATTTTGCAGAGCTTTTAATTGGTGATTGGTTAGAATAGAAATTCTGGTAGAATTAAAAGAAATAAACATTACATTCTAAACTCCCCAAAATAAAGAAGTGAATAAAGGTGCAATATCATGTTGGGCCTAGCATATTTTGTGAAAGTTTTCATGAGAAAGCTATTCTGTTTCATATTATCTCAGGAGCATCAAGGCAAAAGGCTATTAATCATCCCTGGTAATTTTTCAGATCAGCGTAAAGACTCATGGGGGTTTTCATTATGTTTTACAGTTAATTTTCGCTTTATATTGTAATTTAATTTCAATTAAATTCAGTTTATTTATATAGCACCAATTCACAACACATATCATCTCAAGGCCCTTTACAGTTCACCAGATCATACAGTCAGATTAATTTTTTTCTATCTAAGGAAACCAGTTGATTGCATCGACTCATTGATTGAATGCAATCCCTCACACTAAGCATGCTTGTAGCAACAGTGGAAAGGAAAAACTCCCTTTTATCCGGAAGAAACCTAAGTGTGAGCGGCCATCTGCTGAGGCTGACTGGGGTTCAAGGAGACAGAAGCAGAGATAGAAAAAGCAACTGTAAAAGGCGGCTCCATCCAGGAAACACACAGCCAGGCAGATGAGCTCAGACCCAACTCCCATGTTAGAGGATGAAGAGAGCTATCCAGCCAGTCACAGTCAGAGAAACAGGAATACACTGGAAAACAGGCCGATCTCCAACATCTA